ACTTGAATGCACCTTTGTGATAAGTTTTAGGACTTTATTGCACATTCGTGATAAGTTTTAGGACTTGATTGCACTTTCGTGACAAGTTTTAGGACTTGATCGCATTTTTTGAAAGTTTTAGGACTCAATTGCACTTTCCTGACAAGTTTTAGGACTTCTAGTGCACTTATCCCTAATTTTTATTAAGTGCGAAATATCAAAAAAATTTTCAAAACTCAAGTATCGACATGTGGTGTTGTATATATTTTTATTTCATAACTTTAATTTTTGGAAGAAAGGTAAAGAAAGAAAAACACTTTAAGTTAGACGAACAAACATTTATAAGAACCTTTAGAGCCTATTTTGATTTTTGAAAGCAAACAATTAGTTATTAATGTTCTCCTGAAAATTTGTTTTTTTTCAACTCTAAAAGATTATACTATAATTTGATATGCTTTTAAATGAACTTATCTGAACTGTCGGTATCAAATAAAAGTTAAATTCAAAATGCTAAAAAGGAAAAATGGTAAAAATAAAATCACTCTAAACAAGCTCCTCATGCATGATTTATCATAATATCAATTTGTGTTAAGTGTATCAAAATTGTGTTTATACTTCGTGCGAATTCATACGAGTACTAAAATATCTCAGGGATGGACTCGGGATGGGAGGGGACAAGAGATACATTCCCCATACCCGTCCCGCCGAGGGAAGTTCCGCCCCACCGCCGACCCCGTTCCATGTGTGGGGTAGGGCAAGGGCTGGTGCGGGGCGACCTCCGCGGGCCGACGGTGCCCCCACGAGGCGCTGCCCCAGATATAAAAATAGCCTATAGTTAAGTTGAAAGTAAGAACCGCGATTTTTGTAGAGCTGGGATTGCTCCAACTCAACGTGGAATAAAGTGAAGATGAACACATGTAAAAAAAACCACATTGTTCACATGAAAGCAACACTTGTGAGTATGACTGTCCAAATAAATTTGTCCTTGATTGAGCAAAAAGGATTGTGAGCATATCTTGGCTCTCTGCTTTTCTAATTTCCAATTTCAATGGAAAGCTTATAAATTGTATAGTATAATGTATAATATCATGTAAATGATGATAGTACATATAAATATGTCTAAGCAAAATAATAACATATCATCTATAAGTATAAGTACAATAAAGTAAGATTTGTAAGAAAGATATATAAATACATTAGCAAGGCGGATTAGTAGGGCGGGGCAAAGTCGTTATCGGCCCACTCTGCCCCGACAAATTCCTGTCGTTTTCGCCCCTGCTCCCATTTTTTTGTTACGGGAAAAAATTTACCACATTCGGGACGGGGCATCGCAGGACAATGTAACACCATGCATGCGCTCATCTCTTAATATACTGTAATTCTATGTAATGAATCAAATGAATGAATCACGAAAACACTATGTCATTTTGCATTGATATGTGCATTAGAAATAGGAAAAATATCTTAACCACCACTATTAACCCTCTATTTTTTCTTCCGAAAAAAAAAACCATTTAGGCAACCTGGTCATCTAACTTTTTTGATGTGTATGGGTATTTTCGTCCAAGGGGTAAAAGTTGGGAGAAGTGTCAAAAAAGTTCTAAACCTTTTACATTGGTGTCAATTTAGTCCTAAATCTTTTTTTAAGTGCCAATTCAGTCCTAAACCTTTTGCATTTGTGCCAATTGAGTCCTAAACCTTTTTTTTGTGCTAATTCAGTCTTAAACCTTTTGTATTGGTGCCAATTCAGTCCTAAACCTTTTGTATTTGTGCCAATTGAGTCCTAAACCTTTTTTTGGTGCCAATTGAGTCCTAAACCTTTTGCATTGGTGCCAATTCAGTCCTAAACATTTTGTATTTGTGCCAATTCAGTCTTTCCGATTAATTTAGCTAAAAAAGATTTAGGACTGAATTGGCATCAATGCAAAAGGTTTATGACTGAATTGGCATCAATGCAAAAGGTTTAGGACTCAATTGGCACCAAAAAAAGGTTTAGGACTCAATTGGCACTAATGCAAAAGGTTTAGGACTGAATTGGCACCAATGCAAAAGGTTTAGGACTCAATTGGCACAAAAAAAAGGTTTAGGACTAAATTGGCACAAATGTAAAAGGTTTAGGACTAAATTGACACCAAAAAAAAATTTAGGACTAAATTGGCACAAATGCAAAAGGTTTAGGACTTTTTTGACACTTTTCCCGGTAAAAGTTCATGGAGGTTTTTTGGCTGGTTTGAAATGTGGGCATATTTTTGTCTCTTGGGCGAATTTTTTTTTCATTTTTTTGGGATTTAGCCCATGTTTTTCCTTATTATTCCGTGCCTTGCCCATCTTCGTTGTGTCAAATATTCTCAATACATTGTAGCATTTTGATTGCAATGATTTAGCAAATCAGAAAAAAAAAACTTCGCTCTTATCAACGTGTCTTTGCACATGCCAGCGTCATTTTGCAGGGACAAAAAATATAATGGCGGGTATTTTCGTCCTTAGGGTTTTTTTTTTTTTGAGCTTTTTTGTCTTCTTTTTTCCTTCCTTTATATTATTCCAATTTTTTCTACCATCAATATTCTCGGATCCTAACATCTTAGCATACTATTCTAATGGCTAAAATTTAGACACTAAATCTCCCCTACTTCCATATTTAGAGCAAACCTTTTCTTTTACCATAAATTAGGGATGAGCATGGTCTAGGTGGGTGGTTCCCACCCTAGAATCGGGAACCGCCCACTAAGAATCGTTTCCGAAAAATTAGAACTTAGAACCGCCTGTTAATTCCATGGATCCACCCGGGAACTGGACCATCGATCTAGTCCGGTTCCTGGGTGAGTCCATGAAACTGTTCCCACTAGCCAAGAACGGAGACGGAAAGACAAAGATGGAGACGTAGATGGAGAGTCGAAGACGGTGAGGTGAGTATCGATCGAAAAGAGTGAGAGTGAGAGTGAGAGTGAGAGTGAGCGTGAGGCGAAAGAAGGTGTTTCTTGGCTCAATGTGAGGCTATAAATGTCGAGTGAGTTATGTTTAGTTTAGTGATTTAAGATTTTTCTTTTTTTAAAAAAATTTAAAATTAAATAAATATTATATATTATATTTATTATTATATTACCGGTCCGTGTGGGTGGACGGGCAGTTCCATGCTTAGAACTAGGAACCGGAGCAGTACTTACCCGTTCCCAAAAATTGGAGTCAAGAACCAGACCGGTTTCGAGTGGTTCCCAGTTCTTTTGCACACTCTTACCATAAAACACATATAAATCCACTTCTAATGCTTTGCTTTTGAAGCTCGGTTGGGGAATGATCCAAGATAGAGGCAAGTTATGGGTTCGAGTCTTTAAAGGGAAATATCTGCAGACCTCAAATTTCTGAATCACAAGGTCAAGGCATCAGCCTCTCCTTTGTGGAAGGCAATCATAGATACCAGAGAAGTACTCAAACTGGGAACTCTATATCAAATAGGGGATGGAAAATCGATCGAGGTCAGAAATAACCCCTGGATTGCTAATGTCTCAACTCATTTGCCTTCTTTTATTGATCCAGACCCTATTTTGAAGCATAGAAAGATAGAAAGCTTCTTTATCCCATGGACAAAAACTTGGGATGTATTATCTAAATCAAACATTTTGCCCAACCTCACTCCAAGCCATCCTTCAGATCCATGTGCCAAACTCCATTGGGCTAGACAAACTGATTTGGCATCCAGCTATCGATGGAATATTTTCTGTTAAATCTACTTACAAACTCATAAAGTCACGAAATGAAAATGGTAACAACCGCGGGATTTGGAACAAAATCTGGAAAGCTAGAGCTCATGAGCGACACAAAATGATGTTGTGGAGGATAGCGACTAACGTTTTACCTTGTCAAGCTAACTTGTTTCAATTGATCCATATCCCAGACCCCTCTTGCCCGTTGTGTGGAGCTTCGGAGGAAAATTCAGTTCATTTGTTCACAAGATGTCCTCTAGCCCAAATCTTGTGGAGACAGAGCCCATGGGGTATTATCTCGTCTGCTTGGAACTTCAGGTCTCCGGAAGAGATGGTGAATCACTTTCTTGATCCAGGAAAAATATTACAGAGAACGCGAGTGGATTGCAAGCTCTTCACCCTTTATGCAGCAATTCTTTGCACTAGAATGGGGCATTGCAGGAATGCAAAGCTACATGATCAGACTATTCTAGTTCCTTCCCAGGCGATTCAGATGGTCATACAAGATTTCTTGGAATATTCAAATATGTTCAAGAGGGAGAACAAAGTTAAGTTAAGCGAGGAACCAGGTTTTATTGGGGTAAGGTCAAACTCTTGGATTCCTCCATCAAACCAAGAGTTGAAATTTAATGTAAATGTTGCGTGGAAAGATAACAGAGGTGCCATAGGTATTATTGCATGATTGTATAGAGGCTCAGTTGTCCAAGCGTGGGCAAGATGAGGAAGATGAAACTCGCCAGTGGAAGTAGAAGCTGCAGCTCTTCTTCTCGCATGCAAAGCTGCTTAGTCCCTCGGCTTCCACAAAGCGAAAGTGATTGTAAGATGTTAATTGATGCTATTCAACAAAAGGGCATTTGTCCTTGGTGTATTCATCCTTTCGTCTCGGACTCTCGCGTCCTACTTAGCAATAACCCAGAATGGAGTTTGAAGTGGATCAGTAGATCTAGTAATGTTGTTGCTCATAAGCTTGCAAAATGGGTTTTTTATCAGTTAGGAACTGCATCATCTTTCTTTTTTATTGATCTCCCATCTAGAGTAAAAAACTTAGTATTAGCGGAATCTTCTTTAATTTATCATGTTGATGTAGGCTCTAATTTTTCTATGTAATATTTGATCTTCTCTTATGAAATGGAAGGTTTGTTTTAGAAAAAAAAAACATATAAATCCACTTCCCACTTTTGCCCTCACCACCACTCGATAAAAGAATCAAATTCCACACAAATGTCAAAGGGCAATCCGGTAATTTCACATCGACACATTTCGAAATATTAAAAAAAATCGGAATAATACCAGAGAATTTAAAATCCCATTCTCTCTCCCCATCTATCGCGTTATCTCTCCACACTCTCTCTCTCTGCTCCGCCGCTGTCTCTTCGCTTCCCCACCACTCGGCCATGGCGGTCTCCCTCAGCTCTCTGTCTTCCATCCTCGCCCGCGAGTCGGCGTCGCTGGCCGGCGGCGCCGCCGCCACCTCCGCCCTGCCCTCCTCCTCCTCGTCCAGGCTCGCCCTGCCGTCGCGGCGCGCCGCCGCCCTCGCGGCCACCGTCCGGGCCGTGTCCTCGCCCTCCTCCAGCCCGGCGGCGGGGAAGCGCGAGCCGCGCGGCATCATGAAGCCGCGCCCCGTCTCGCCGGAGATGCAGGCCGTGGTCGGGGCCCCCGAGATTCCCCGCACCCAGGCGCTCAAGCAGATTTGGGCCTACATCAAGGAGAACAATCTTCAGGTCTATTCGGGTTTTTGCAGCATCAGTGTTCTCGTCTTGCTTTATCTTTCGCTGAAAGTTTGGATTTTTAAGTGTTTTGGTGATGAGTCTGGTTAATGGTTAGGGTTTGCTATATGGATAAGGTTTCAATTTTCTGTCATGTTGTGCAAGGATTGTTTGGTCATTTTCCTTGGTTGTACGGGCCTATCATTGCGCTAAATTCTTGGTTAATGTTTGCTGGGAAGTGCACGTTTGCTACTTGGTTGTGTGGTAGAATCTTATTGGGCGTTTTCTTGATATAGACCGCAAGAAAACAGAGCTGTTCTTGGTACATTCAACGTTTCTTTCTTTTGCTTCAACTGGTTGATTTGTTGAGTGCTTGACTATGGCCTGGTAAGTTACTAATTACACGAAATGTGTGTGACCTGCTGATCTTATGCAAAAGGTACCACAAGCTGGTCATATTCAACTCAAATTTGAATTGACTATGTTATCTAGGCATTTGAGCGTAGTTAACATAGCAGGTCTTTTGTGGGACTCTTTGGAGCTATATGTAGTATTTTGTTCATTGCCAGGGCTCTTTTTACTGGGTGAGGGTGAGGTGGGTTTTTATTTTGTGTTATTGCTTAGATATAGACAATGCAGTGATACCATTTTTGCTAGTGTCTAGGATTATTTGTGAGTTGGGTAAGCATTGTTATTCTCTGAAGGTGATATTTTTTTTGTCGATGGTTTTTCACATATGCTGCTTCGGGGTTTTCCTTGCTGCGGTTGAACACATGATTTGTGCTTGCTGCATTCTGTTTCTTTGATAGGGAAGTTTATGCTTTCTCATCCTTAAAGAAGCTTTAATGACATTGTATCACTATTTTTTGCCTCGCAATTTCTACCAGAGGGCTATTTTAACATGATAGCACTGTCTTTCGGTTCCTTAGCAGTTACCACATTAACTTTTAGTACTTATGAGGAATCCTGAATTGTGCAAATGATAAGAGAAAAAATGACGTTTCATACGACCTCTGTCTGCCTTTTCAGTTTTGTGTGTTTAACCACGATTTCTTTCCTTAAAAGTTAGTGATCCTAAACCTTCATTCTGTAATGCACAATCCATTTGCTGCCATCCATGCAAATCGTTGGTGGGAGTTTGTGCATAGACATATCCGTTAATGAGCTTTTGAGAGACTAATATGTTTTTGTACTTCATGTTTAGCTGGTAAATGTTCTGGATTTTTTTTCCATTGCCAGGTGCTATGTTCAACGTGCTCCACATTGACATGTCTGCTTGATGCAACTGAGATGCCTATTTTTTCAAGCTCTGTTTGTTTTAGGTTATAATCGATTATTTTGTATTCTGTGCAATGCTGTTTCTGTCCGAGGAATGCTATCCCTTGAGAGAACGTTCAACTGGTGTTGTATGATGCTTACTCTCATCTTTGTTTCATAGGAAGGAGAAAATCAGACTCTTATATGGTATTGTTGTTGTGGTTTGATTCCCATTTTTTAGGACCCTGAGAACAAGAAGATCATAATATGTGATGAGAAGCTGAAGAAAATATTTGGCGGGAAAGACCGAGTTGGGTTTCTCGAGATTGCGGGATTGATCAGTCCTCATTTCCTCTGATGGAATTAAATGCCCAATAGGTGAAGTAGGTAAGCGGGGCTATCTTGTCCAGCGATCTTTTGCACGCCAGGCATCTGTTTTGGTCGAAGATATCGGTGGAAAAAAATTGCTGGTTCTTGCTCTGTAGTTATTTTATCTTGCCAGTAGTTGCTTAAACTTCTTTGGATATCGAGTTTTGGTTACAAAGTTTAGGCTTTTTATTGATGCATCAGTGGTGGCATGTTGTGGTTACCACAGGGAGTAATTATTTAAAATTTCTCTGTATCTATGTCTCGGTCTGCTAATCTATAATTCGTATGATGGCGATATCCTCGTACACCAAGTGAGCCTGATTGAAACGTGAAAATTGTTCTCTTGAAAGGAACTGAATTTGCCAAACCTGCTCTATCTACTAATCCTAGAATCTCTTATGCAGTCCAATAAAACAATTGTGGTTATACTCGATTCATGTGGGTAGGTTAACTCAGGTGCGGAAGGATTTGACTGGCTTCATGCTTTACAATGCTGATGCTCCTCTCTACACGACCCATGATTTGGCACATTACCCCTTGGAGATCTTGTAATATCTCTCATGTAGTTACAAACGAAACATTCGACTATGTATAGAATAGGCGAGATTTCTTAGTCACACAGCTCCATTACCATTAATTGTGAAATCGTCGACTGCTCCGGGGACTTCGTATGTTTTGAATGTGATTATACTCAATGATCTGCTCGTGCTCGAATGAGCTCGTGCATGATTAGTAATCATTTTTCGTGAGAAAACGCTCGTCCTAATACTGCTGGTCATAAGGTCACCCGAGTGAGCCAACAGGAAACTGTAAGTATCTCAAGAGCTTGCACTTCGCCTGAAGCCTCTCCTCAAGAATACTGGGCAAACACGTTTGCGTCACCAGCGCGGCATTTGGCTGTTCCCCGTTTTCCTAATTTTCATTTAAGTAGCACGGAATCAAGCTTATCATCGTAGTATGACATATGTCTCGCGCATTTATATTAAGGTTTTGTTCGTTTCGTGAAAAATGTGACATTTTTGAAAAAATGTTTTTCAGGAAGTCATTTTTCAGAAAAAATGACTATTTTTCGGTATTTGGTTGAAACTTGAAAATGAGCTAGAAAATTTTTTCTACCGTTTGGCATTAAAAATCTGATTTGATTTTTTTGGGAAAAATATAAAAAAATTCGAAATTTTTAATTATTATTTTTTCTTCTATCTTTGCTGATTGCCAGCCAGGGTGACGGCTAGTGACCGTCACATGCGAAGTGGAGCCTCACCGGATTTGACAAGGTTGAGCTCACCTGAGGTCTATGAGCTTGAGACTTGCCAGATTCTAGTTAGCTCGAGACTTGCCAGTGACTTGGGTGAGGCTCCATCTCGTCGGATCTAGCAAGGTCGAGCTTGCCTGAGGTTGGCGAGCTCCAGACTTGCCGGTGGCCGGTCGTTGGCCGTCATCGTGGCTGGCGACCGGCCGAGGAAGAAGCAAAAAGAAAAAGAAAGAAAAGATACGAAAAAACACAAAAATAATTAAAAATTCGATTTTCAATATAAAAATAATTAAAAGTAAAAATAGTTAAAACTTTGATTTTTAAAATAATAATTAAAAATTAGATTTTTTAAAAATATTCTTATAAGAACGAACGTTTCATCAATCAAAGACCTAAGCTTGAGTGCCAAGGACTCGCGCACGGCCTTTTTGGACACGTGCCTGAGTGTTAGGGACTAGAGCGAGAGTGTCGGGGACTCGAGCCCTGCCTTTACGGACGGGGGCTTGGGTGCCAAGGCATAGGGCACAGGCACTAGGGGTTCGGGCCCGACCTCGATGGACCAGGACATGGGCGTTGGGGGCTCGGGTTTAGGCGTTGGGGTCCCGAGCCTGGCTTCAATGGAGCCAAGTTTGGCCTTGATGGACTCGTGCTCGGGCGTCAGAGACTTGAACCTAGCCTTGATGGACCCGAATTTGGCCTCGATGGAATCGGTTCGGGTGTTGGAAACTCGGGACCCAGCGTGTGGGTTCCCCAGTTCAAACGTAGAATTTCGGGTCCAAGCGCCAATACCTAGTTATATTTTGGAAAATGTTTTTTTGACTTTTTTAAAGGGAAAATCAATTTCCTGAATTTAAGCATAGGTTTTCCGTTCACGAGGAAAACGAGGAAAATATTTTCCTAAAATTTTTTTTCCTGAAACGATCGGACCCAAAGAGTTTCTTTCTTTTCATCTTTTTTTGTAAAGGCAAATAAATTGAGAAGAGAGCTGCTTGGCCTGTATCCTCTGGTTAGATCTTGTGTCCTCTTCCGTGTTACTTAACTGGGGAGACAAATGAACGATTCCGAAGACTAAAGAAAGCGATAGTCTCCGAATAACTTTGCATCGATAGTCTCCGAATAATGTCAATCGCACTGCACAGCCGTCCTATAATGCTTTGCACATTTCGCTTTATGAGTGCGCACTTTAGGACCCAAACCTACACCAGATGTATCGCAATCGAACTGATACTATAATGCTTGCACTGACTATTGCTTTTGACACGACAGGAGAACCTGAAACCTCAGGTACGCGCGTGGGGGGCAGTACAAAAAGGGTTCGGGTGTCGCACTTCTTCTTGACCATATCCGTTCTGATCACTTGAAGTAACGTCATTGAATCCCACCATCGGGTGTTGGCCGACTTCGAGAATTACTAGCTTGTGGCGATGGCGGCGATGGTCGTGAAAACGAAACATTTGTTGGTCAGGTATGAGAGCCTAAGTATGTTATTACTGTGATGCTTGATTAAGTCGGCGTTTAAGCGATTCACTGGATAAGAACTTACACCGGTTGCATGTGGAACTAGAAGTGATCGAGAATCCATTTCTTTCCTCCCTATTTATGTTTTCAGCTTAATACTCGCGACCATCCAATTAGTTTCTTTTGAAAGGCGCGATCGCCATGCATTTTTTTAGTTTTGGGATGTGAGGTAAGATCTTACGACTACTGTTGCATGTGATTGCCGATATGACCTTTATGCGAAATCCATGTGATACCAAACAAAAGGCTGTAACATGCCAAACCAATGCGAATTAGGCCTTTCGCCAAGATTGCGTCCTATGCTAGAAAACAGAAATCCCATGTATATATACATCATCCATAATTAGTCGTGTTGCGATCGCTCCGTCATATACTTTCTCGTCCATTTGGGTTCGGAGCCCCATTGATCTGAATGTGAAATTGTGAGTTATACTTGCAAGATCTCTCTCTCTCTCTCTCTCTCTCTCTCTCTCTGTTCAAATTGAAGTAGCCAATCCTTCACAAAATGACTTGCATATAAACAAAATCTCTTTCCAGACAAGCAAAGCGGGAACGGCGATTCACGAGTGCAATCACATTGACAAAGAAGCTGGAAACACCCAAAACACAGATCAGTGGTGGTGATCAAGTTGATGAGCCCGACGAGGACCGTCCATGTTGGGTGCCGCACCCGAGAACGGGGATATACGTCCCGAGAGGTCACGAACGGGTGGTGGACGACATTCCAGATGGTGCAGCTTCTTTCTCTCAGTCTTTCTGGCTCAGGAGCGTTGAAGGAGTAGACAAACCCGATCCAGATGAACCAGTCGCGGGTCTTCTTCCTCTGAGTAAGTAGTGCGAATTCGAGTGGCCGAAGCTGAAGCAGTTCCGCAGAATCTCGAAGTTCAAGGGAAGAAAAGTATATGCACAGCATAATCAATCCAATAAACCCTATAATTGGCTTGGCAGCCTTGGCAACTCATATCATGTACTGCTATTCATCCAATAAAACATCTTGAACGGTAATGGCATCGTCATACTGGTGTGATGATCATCTTTAACTTCTAAGGTGCGGTTCATCATATTTTGTTAGAATCGATACGGATATACGAGCATGAGCCCGGTCAGACTGCATTTCTCACACTTCATACAGAAGTCGAATTTGCACTAAACTAGGCATTTCGGCTCTTATCAAAATCGATTTTTTTACGCATAATCCTGAGCTTTGACGTTAGATCATAACGTGGGCCTGCATTTTTATCAGCTTATGAGTTTTTCGTATTCTTTTCTGGTTAAATTCAATAATTCTCTTCTGATGAGCAAAGACAGATAATTCGAAGAAATTTTCGGCGAGTTCACACGCTTTATCCTCCCCCTCCCCCCCAAAAAAAAAAAAGAAAAAGAAACACTTATCATGTACAGCGGCCGGTGTTATTGTGTAAATCACCAAGTTCGACTAAATAGAGTATTAATCATCCTGCTCAAGTTCGACTCGATTAGAAAATCGAGATACTCAAGCTCGACTCGACTACAGCTGACTTATAAATAAAGCTCTAGTGTTATGTCATTTTAAGTGTTGATTTTTCTAATTGTTGAGTTTTTGTTTTTGAAGTAATGAAAGCTTGATTCACAAGCCTATCGAACTAATTATTGACAAGCTTGAGCTCGGCTCAACAAGATACCCGACTAGCTTGAATTGGAAAATGACTTGAAATTCGGTGAGTTGATCTCGAGTACTCATGGAGCCGAACTACTTTCGATTAGCTTGACTTGGTTTCACTCGTAATCAGGATCATATAAACACAGACGTTGCTCCATGATATTCCATAGATCTCACCTGTAAATTTTCAAAAGATTATTTCTTTATGATGAAAGTGATTCAAAAAAATTGAAGCTTCTTTAGATTTTTGGGAAGAAGCCACAAAAAATCCCCAAACTATGTTCATGGGGACACAAATACCCTGAACTTTTTTTGTAACATCAAAAATCCCAAACTATGCGTGCTATGATATATTTACTTTGAACATTTTTTTGTGACATAAAAAACCCCAAACTTGTACCTATGTGATATATTTATCCCCATCAATGTTTCGTTAGATGATTTTTCAGTCAAAACAACGTCATTTTTATTTCACTTAAACCACGTGAGCGCTATGTCAATAACATTTGCTTTCCGGCATCAATATAGGTAGATTTTTGATGGTCCTCCTTCATTTGTGGAACTTTGATGGAGGACTGTGTCACACGTGTAAAAATTTGGATACAAATTTTTTTAAGGTAAATGTGTTACGGTAGGTATAGTTTGGGGTTTTTGGTGGCTTTTTTTCTAAATTTTTTTCCAAAGCAAATCCTACTCTTTTTCATAATTTGCATATGGCAACATCACTTTTAAGTTTTGGAAATAATATAAAAGTTATATGTGACAATGTCTATATATGCATTGAAACATTTTAGATAATTTATATTAAACAAAAGTTAAATTGCATCAGCATAGTGCTTTCGCCTCATTGGTTATCCTCGTCCATCTAGAACAGAGAAGGAGAAATGGATAAGTTCACGTCACATCAGGTTAGATTGAGCTTAAGGTTGGATGGTTGAGCTAAGATGCTTTAATCTATCGAAAGTGCGCTCTGGCATTGTTCCACAAAAAGCAGACTCGCATATCAAAGGCTGCTTAGAGCATTTACTTCACGGGAATCTGTCTGCACGGTGGAGCTGGTTTTATAGCTAAAGTCTTGTTAATCAGTAAACTTATTACACACAGTACCTGGTATTCTATTCTGGTGAAGACTCTCATGGTCACTTAACATATCCTTCCTATCAAAATTTAAACCCCTCCTCCATACCTCGTTTCTGATCTTGGACAATCTTCAATGATAATGAGTTACTAGAGACCAGAAAAAAACATGTATTATTTAATAAAAGATCATGACACGTTTTGTAATGATAGTACCTACATTATTGAAAAACAAATTCTACTTGGTTGACTATAAGTAAGAAATTCAATTGAATGAAATATGTTATTTTGAATACTCTTATTGCACTTAAAATTATTATTTTTTCAAGTCGACTCTTTATCTTGATCATATAAAATAAAACTTAGAAGAGCATATCGCACAAATTGATAAAGGTAAATGATTTGATTGCACAAATTTAATGTTAAAGGACTAAATTACACAAATGCAGAAACTTAGAAGACTAAAGCTGTATTTAACCCAAATACCAATCAAGAATATTTTGTGACTAACAACAATCTATGCCTAGAGTTTTCATCCGTCGTCAGCTAATTTCTCTAAGTTAGCAAAATACAGTGTGGCAAAAGCATCCCCATGATTAGAAAAGGAGGGTAGAAGAAAATTGATAATGCGCTATAACAGTTGTAGAAAATTATTTCAAAAAGTTAGCTTCTCTCTTGTTTTTCCTTGTCCCACGTTGCTCGAGAAGCTCTCTCTTGTTTACTTTACTAATGGGTTCATTTTAATAGCATGGTAATAATTAAAAAAAAAATGATGATGGGCCGAACCAAATGTAATGGTCAATGCAAGCCCCTATACCTACCTACTTGTGTTTGGCAAGGCCTAAACTAATGTTCCTTATTATCGAACGAAAACATGACATAATGGAGAAAATATTGGGCTTTCCGACAATGGCGATCACGATGCGAAATCGCCCCTTCACTCTGTCACTCGACCAATCCAAAATGGAGAAAATCTCATTGATCTTTCCTTCATCTTTTATTAGCACGGATAACCAGAGTCACACCTTTAGTTGTTGATAATTTGCGACTTGAAGCTGAATTCGTCCAATCTAATGTGGAGAAAGTCTCAAGAAGACTGAGCAGCTTACGCACGAACTTGCTTACTTTCCATCCAGTAGTTGGGTTAGATTCTCAGTCACAAGCCTTGTACTCATTACTCCAATTAGAGGTTGAGGATGTCCGAATCGTGGGAATTTTTGGCTCTAGCGGAATAGGAAGGACTACACTTGTGAGAGTTTTTTACCACCAAATTACAAATCAAATAGATCGGAGTTGCTTCCTGGAGAATGTGAAGGATATATCGAGCTAAAATGGCCTCCTCAAAATATACGAGACCCTCTTTGGTGACATTCTTGGCGATGGAGTTTTAGAGTTTGGCGATGATATTCATGCAATAATAACCTTCATTAGGAGTAAGCTACACAACAAGAGGGTTTTGTTGGTGTTCGATGATGTTGAAGGTTTGTTGGAGCCTTTGAGCCACCTGATCAAGGCAATGAACTTAGGCTGGAGAAGTAGTCATTTTGATCCCTCGACACGAAGGAACCATAATCGGTCTATGTGGGGATATTTATAAGGTAAGAGTGCTGAATGATGATCAAGCTCTCGAGCTTTTCAGTTGGAATGCATTCCAAGAGAGATATCCCAAAAGTGATTATAAGATGCTCTCAAATTGCTTCACCAGTTTTTCCAAAGGGCTTCCTTTAGGACTCACCGTGATGGGTTCTTTCTTGAACAGGGGAAGCATCAAACAATGGCAAGGAGCTATTGATTGATTGAAAGAAATCCCTTAGGGAAATGTTCATGAAAGAACGATGATTGTTATCCATGGCTTCGAGGCCAACAAGAGGATGATTTTTCTTGACATTGTGTGTTTTCTTAATGGATATGACAAGGAAGAGATCATCAAGTCCCTAGATCAATGTGGTATCCATGCCAAGAGTGGGATTGAGTCTTTGGCTCAAAAGTTGCTATACATCAATGAAATAATAATATGTGGATGCATGATTTGCTTCAAGAAATGGGTAGACGAATTGTGATTCAAGAGTGCTTGGCAAATCCTAGCAAACAAAACATAATATGGCATTGTGAGGATGCTCTACAAGTGGTTAGGCAACATTCAGTAAGATTTAAGCATGTCTTAAAAGAATTTGAACAAATATGTATATCTTCTTTTTGTGGAATTCACATTTACATGGCATAAAAAAATTTGGATTGCAAAACTAGGATAGCCACATGGGTTTTTTTATTTTTATTTTTGCCAATTAGGGTTTAAGAGGGTTTTAGATCTTTATTTCGCGCTTCGTTAATTTGCTCCTTGAAATTGCAAAGTGTATTGTTGGGCCGACAGTTATATAACCTAGTATAAATCCTCTCATTTGTCCTTTCATCATAAGACGAGTATAGATTAAGTTAATTTGCATAAGGAGGCAATTCTGGTGGCGAAGTTTCATAAACAAGAGATAGATTGAGTTTTCCATCAGGGTTACTGGTTAGGTTTATTTACTAGGGAGGAGTATGACTTCCTTATTAGAAGCGCGTAGTAGAAATCCGATACCTTCACTTGGGGAGATTGTCAAGAGAAAGCTCATATCCAGCTCGTCAACATATTTAGTTGGACTCACATTTACTTAAAAGCTTAAGCCAATGAGTTTTTGGCTAATTAGGATACATTAATAGACTCACACCATAAATTCTCTAATATAGGACTTCTCTAAGACAATCTCATATGTGCATCTTAACAATTTCCTTCTCACGTTTGAGTTTAGTGTTAGGTATGCTCCCCTTAATCCAAGCATCAACTTCATCCCTAGTCTTTTTTCTCTAGACTGAATCATGAAGTCTGCCATTGGACCTGCGTTGCTACACTACAACGCCTACTGCTGGAACAGATTGTGGGCCCACTAATCTACCATTGGCGCTGAAACCAATTGTTGGGAGCACAATGACAACCCGATCAATATCTAATTAGTGCAACGGAACAAAACAATCTTCACTCTTGTGCAAACCTAATAGGAAACAACATCAATAAAGCAATATCACTAATAAAATATAAATATCAAGCACCTGCAAAAACAAGGCAATTTTACGTAAAAAAACCTCCCCAATGTGAGCATATAAAAAACTACGGGATAGAAGTCCATCCAAAATTTTCACTATCAACAAAATTGAGTGAACAAAGTTCTTCTCTAGCTAATAATGGAGGTCATGGTAGCAACAACATCAAGAACAACATTCTTGGGAATACTCATAAACTTTACAAGAGATC